GATGAGGCCAACCTGCTAAACTTTACGCCCAGAGTCTCCAGCTCCATGGGCCTGCATTGCTCACTTTTACTGGACGCTAATAAACCGCATCGTATTCACCAGAGCCGTCCAGATAAAGTTGGTTCAAATCCTGAGGTCTTGAGTCATGTCGAAAGCCTGATCTGTTGCATGGATGGGAATCCGTATTGGATGGGGTAACTCTAGGTTTACACGGGTGTAACTGACATCAGAACCCATCCTTTACTCATGCGTGTAGACAAGTTTCGCCGGAGTGTAGAATCAGTAAGGACAGAAGGGGATGGCGGGTTGTGTCAGCAATCGTATGTGCTCTGGTTTTCCGCCATTGGGCTGGAAACAAATGACTACGTTTGGGGACAACAATTTGGGAAAATCTAAACGAGCCCTAATAATCTGAACGAAAGCCTTTCAGAAAACGGGCTTGAGATGTTCCAACGGGACTAGGAGATTTAGCTACACAACTCCCATTCATGCTAGTGGGAGTCGTGCGCCTGACTCCTCGGTTTGGAAAATCAAGTTGGGAAAGAGCCTCGCTCATGTCCGAGTGCGCGGAAAACAAAACCCATTTACTTGAGAGACTATGGAAGGGATCCTGATCGCCCTGAAGTCAACGGGGAGGGAGTGGGAATGTTGTCCCGATTCACACCGTGTGAAACCCCATTGAAGTGAGCGTGTGATTTGTCCCTGGAGGTTTTGCCATTGACTTGACTGGGAACAAGGACAGGCCCTGGAACAAATAGGGCCCAATTCAACCCTCCTTATTCAGCCAAAACTGGCTGAGTTCAGTGGAGGTTTTGGGTGAAGAGAACTTGAGCGGCTGAGCCCCGCCCCTTCAACTGTGCGGCTCCAAAGGAGATATCCTGCTAGATTCTGTTTCCACTGAAATCCCTGACAAAACCCTCCTGATCGCCAGTGTGAACGGGATCAGGCCCATTATCGATCAATTGGTTGACTGATTGATTTATCATCCAATCAGCAATTCTCAGTCACTGGAGACAGCCTTTTATTTTTTATGCTCACCTCTTTCTTTTTAAGCTAACATTAAACACAGAGAAGGAAGCTTAACAAGAGAGCTGGTGAAAGCAACTTGGTTCTAAACAGCAAGAGCATTTAAACAGAATTGGTGCTTGAAATCCAGTACCCAATTTCCAGATTTAGGCCTAGATAGCCCCATGTAGCTGACTGCTGAGAAACTGTAATACCCCCACACAACCAGGAGGGCTAAGGAAGTTTTCCTGTCTGTTTTAAATTTAAGCCTTACTTTACCCTATTTTAGCGAATTTTTATAGGCGATACAGATCTTTGGGAGATTCAGTCTAGATTTTTTTTTGTTTTGTTCTCCTCCCACCTCGCCCCGCCCCGAGCTGAATACTGTTCTGGCGGAGTAACTGAGGTGTTAACCTGCCTTCCAGCATTTTACATATTTGCTCTATCTTGCTTAGCACTTTGCTTAGAATAAGCTAGAAACGTTTTAATGATGGACACACGTCTCATGTACAGTAAGATCGTGGCTTATCCTAAGAATTTCTGATCAACTCCTATAAATCCTCTTTAGTTGGTAATATTTAGTTTATTCTATTACAAAGCAGCTGAGCTAAAATAACTGCTGACTTTTTATATAAAACTTTTTTTGGGGGTGAGAGGGTCCACTTTATCGAAAACTTTTGTAAAATGATATAAACAACTTTCGTAGGGCCCGATTCTGGTTTCCCTGGCTGAGTAAAGATATGCGGAGTCGGGTCCTGAAAGAGAAAAGAAATGGCAGTTTTTGACATTCCTGCCCTCTTTCATGGTAAGCGGAGGTTTAATGTTCAAATATATTTGCAGAAAGAAAAAGTTTGAATGAAGACAAACCGCAAACTAACTTCTGTATGCCCTTGAAGATATTCAGTGTAAGAAAATGTCAAGTCGTTAAAATATATTTTTTCAGGTCTAAATTTGTAATAGCCTTGAATACAGAAATACAGTACTCAAATGCTTAAACCCCATCTACATTTAAAATCCAGAAAAATAAAGGTTATGCCGAGAGACACCACGAAGGTGTGTTTTTCATCATCCCTTTTTTAAAAAAAAGTTTTTACAGCCATATGGATCACAGATCGTTCAACACATTTCAATAAATCCAGCTATTAAAAAAATGAAAACAGCAAGTCAAATCGCAGATTTGCAGCAGAAAACTGAAAAAGTAAACGCCCTGAAATACGGGATGATTTGTATATACCTGATGTGAAAGCACTCAGGGTTAGAGCAATAACCATTTCATGAGTATACATACACTGCAGCCGTTCTGCATCTCTAAACGTTAGACTTCTCGCTGGTAAAGGACAATGATTTAGCCCCAGAAGAACGAAACAGAAATTGGGGTTGATCAGGAACCTTTATGTTAGTAACTCCCGGTTTTCTAAAGTGTACATATGGCATCTGTAACTGGTTGGTTTTGATTGGTTCGTTTTGAAATATGTCTTGCTTATTCTTCTAAACCCGGTCTCCCTGTAGTGCATACCATACCAGGCTCCTTTAACAGACATAGTATTATTGGGAATACAGAACAGCCGTTTTTATTGGGGATTGTTGTAGCCGTTTAAACCGGTGACTGTTTGGATGAATTTAGCACATTTCTGGAAAGTTATTGTTGTATTAAGCCCGAAACCCACCTAGCATTCCCCATAGCATGCCCCATGGCACTGCTTTCTGCAGAAGTTGGCTCGGCTCTCGCCCGTTTAAAAAACAACTCCATAAACACTGAGATCAACAGACACATTTAAACCCAGCCCCGGTGTTTGTGATGTTTATTGTGTGTTGCCCTTGCCCACCAGACCCGATATGACATTCTGCAAAGTTTGCCAGCAGGACAGGCTCCCAGTCTCCAAACGATAACGGTCGGTGGGTGGGAAGCATTGCGGTATTTTCAGCCTAAAGTATATGCGTTGGTAGGTCAGTACCTGATCCCTGAGATGGGGCCTGCCGATAAGGGAGATGATGATTTGGAAAGTACCTGCCGGTCAGAGTCCGGTGGATGGCTCGAAGCTTCCTCGGTGGGTGCCCGGGTGGGTCCTGCCATTTCAGATCCCTAGGAATGGGCAGATGACCCGGTGAGATCTTTGCAGGTGGGGAAGGGGCCTTGGTGGTCCGCGGCCAGGGTCCCAATTACAGAGAGATCCCCGCAGCCGCCGCATGCACAGATCCATTTCCCTCCTCTGTATATATTGGCCTAATTTCCATCTTGATGGCGTTTAAACTCTTGAAAGATCCTTTAGCTTAGCACTTTCATCCACTCTGCACATCTGATTTTCTTCAGATTCAATCACACTTGGAACAGGCAGAGCAGACAGATTTTAGACCATGGAACAGTTAATAGATCCCAGATTGAATGTAAAGATTAACTCCACAGCCCTGTTCAGTGACTGACACTAGACATTTTACATTATCCTACAGATTCAAAATGACATAAACTGGAGGGGGATTTTCCCACTTATGACTTGCTTTAAGACAAGTTACTATCTTCTCCAAGGGGGGCTGGATAATGCCACTGCTTGTTTGATTCATTAAATGTGTCTGGGCCATCTACATTTTCACACCGTTAACGCATTTCTAAAATTTAAACATTGTTAAAATTACTCGAAAGGCTAATTTAGCACTAGGATATTTGCTACGCAGTCCTTCCCCTTCCCCAAATTCTGGAGGTTCAGCCCGCTCGTTATTGAAGTTAAGAGATGGGTTTACATTTTAGTGGTATGTAAAACCCTGTTATCTGGACCTTTAGAACCTATGAGATTTGCTACTATTTCAATAGTTCAAACAATAGCTCTAAGAACATACATGACGCAGAACGTTAATGTAGTCTACACTTACAGAATATGGATATGATTGTTTAAAGCAGTGCCCTAAATCCGTGATCGCTCTTATATAAAACCTTAATATTCCTTACGTAAGATGTGTTTTTCTTCTATTTAACGATATGAAGCACTTTGATGTGACAGTGGAAACGTTCTGTAACACTGTGTTCTAAAGGAAAGGGTAGGCGAGCTGTTTCTTTGGCTGGTCTGGGAAAGCAAGGAGCATAATAATACTGGCCCCAGCTCTGTAGCGTTTGATATTTTGTTCATGGGAAAAAAGACAAAACGATCCGTTCCCTAGCCCGCACCCGAATATGATTATTATTAAAGTAAATGTCAGTGCTCATACAAGGCTTCGCTGAATTTCCTTTTTTTTTCTTTTTAGCTTCAGTGTACAATCGATTATTGTAACGGGGGCTTCGAGGGTTTGTGCTTAAATTCACGCTGGCCCCTGTTTTAATGCAATCAGAGCAGCGGAATAATTCACAACCCTGCCGTTGTTATTATTATTAAGTTTTTAAACCCGGTTGTTCCCCCGAAGAACTACTGTAGAAAGGGAATGCAATGGGCACTTAAAGCCGCGGGACAGCTTTGTACATTTCAAATGAGATTCCTTGAGGGGAGTTTTAAGACTAACGCAGGTACAGTCCCAACCACAGAACTGAAAGCTCCTGACCAGAAAGGTAAAAGAAGAATAAAAAACTCTGCCATGCTAATAAACCCGGGTGTAGTTCCATACCCTTATTCTGCATGTATGCAAATCTGAGTCCCCTCTGAGGTTTGCGTGTGTTCCCAGGAGGAAACATTGCAAGCTGGGAAAAGCAACGTTTCCCTATTTTTAATGAATGCTCTTTACCCAGAGTTAATTTGATGGGAGTGTAACGGGGGAGGGGCACGAACCTATTTTTATCTATTGAATTCTGGTCTATGCTGCTGTCACGATCAAGTGAAACAGCCTCGCACCTTTCACGCGGGAAGGGGGGGCGGGGCTGTGACTGACACGCCCGCAGGGGGGCGGGGGGCGAAGGGGGTGAATTCTGGAGTCGGAGAGCAACACGTTGGGTTCCCCCACACCCTGCACTTTTATAACCTTGTAAGGAAGAAGGACCGGGCTCGAGATAATCCCCAATTTCTGATTGGCCCGCACACGGCTTGATTGACACAACCCCCCCTGGCTCCGCCCAGCCCCAGTCACTTTATTGACACTAATGAGCGAGTTCTTTCCCACCGGTCTCCTGCTTGGAAGTGCTGACAGATCAAGGCAACAAATTTCAATTACAAGCCCTAATTTGTGTCCGCAGAGCGTTCGTGCCCCATGTCAGTCCTGCCTGGCCCGTCCTCCGAGGCAGAGCTCGGAGGAGGAGGGGGCGGAACAGCGCCTCTGCAAACGGGACCAGTTTAGGCAAACTTGGCTGATCCCTGGCACTGGAAAAGCAGGGCGAGGAGAGCCCCGCGCCCCGCGGCTGGGGGATCGGGAGGGCGGCAGGGAGCGAGGGCCGGGCGCTGCGGCGCGGCTTTGGCCAGGGGCCCGCGCTGTGTCTATGAGCGGGGTCTAGGGCGGGGAGGGCTGCGCGCCGGGCATGGCAGAGAAGCGGCGACCCTCGCCCGGCACCGCGATGAGTCTCAAGGCTCACGCTTTCTCGGTGGAGGCGCTGATCGGAGCCGAGAAGCAGCAGCACAAGCAGCCGAAGCGGCGCAAGCTGGGCGGCGAGGAGGAGCCGGCGGCGGCGGCGGCAGAAGCGGGCAGCGGCTGCGAAACGGGCTCCTGCGAGGGCGCCGACATCGCCCCGTTGCAGCCCCACGCTGGGGCAGCGTCGGCGCCTGGCAGGAGCTGCGGCGAGCTGGAGCTGAGCTGCGGCGCCCAGGGACCCGCCGGTGAGTCTCCTCCCCGCTCCTATCCCACCGCGCTGGGCGCTGCAGCGGGACCGGGACCAACCTGCGCACCCCGCCCAAGCTGTCAAAGCAGCCGCTGGCCCCACACACCGGCCGGGGCCCGTGGAACTTCCCCGGGCACACTGAGAAGGGGCGGAGGGGGGGGGGGCGGATTCTGTCCCAGAGCCCAGCCCCGGCGTGGCTCATCTTTGCTCGCTGTAAACCCTCCTGCGCCGGGTCAGGCACTCCGGCTTCTCCCTCTCGCTGTGGTGGAGGCTCACTCACTCTTCTGACAGTTTTTCAAGTTTCTTTCCTCTCGCCTCCTCCCCTTCGAACCCGGCTTGGCTCCGGATCCAACACTTCCCTCCCGTCCCCTGATTATTTTTTCTCTTTAACACCGTGGTGCAAAAATCCCTCCCGCCAATGAGCTGGTAGTAAAATATCTGTCAGAGCGGATATGTGTTAATTCAACTTCTCCAGGCATTCGGGGAAAGCAAGGGTCTGGTGGGCCCCGATCGTGTTCATTTAAAAGTTCCGTTCCCTGGTATTTTTGGCAACTGCATTTCAGGTTAACAGCACCCCAATCCTAACACTGGACGTAAAAGAGCTGAGGCGAGGAACAACGTGGATTCGTGTCCGTTAAAAAAAACCGGTGCATTAATATGCCCGAGAAGGGCAAACGCTGCAGAGGTGAAATCAAATGTCCAGCGAAATCTGCAGCCAACGCTGCGACGCTAATTCATTTCCCGCACGCCTGCAAAAAGCAGCGCAAAGAGCCTGGCTCGCTCCGTCCCGGCAGCACCGGGAAAACAGTCAGCCCGACCGTATCTCCTCGGTGCCAGGGGTTTGCTGCATGCTGGTGCTCACCCCTGAAGCGGGGCTGCCGGCGTCTGTTATCAGCTCTGAACTCCGCATATGGTCCCGGATGACTTTTCACCCCGCGCTGGGACACCCGCGTATACCCACTTGCACAGGCCGGGTATCTCTGCGCTGGGCCCGCCGCGGGAGAGACAGGAGGGCCTCGGCGCAGCGGTGTGTAAACGCTGGGAGGGACGCGCGCTGGGTCGGGAGATGCTCCAGGCCTCTCGGTGCCTCTCCCCTAGCTGCAGTGGGTGGCGTGGGAAGACTTTTGACTGGCTCTTTCTCTGCTGCTTTGGGGGCAAGGGCTGGACCCAGCAGCCCTTCCCCGGGCTCCTCTCAGTCCAAGGCGCTCCAAAGTCCCTGGGAGCTGTGGCTGCGGCGATCCCGGGCCCTGCTCTCTGCCTGACCCTCTCTTCTGCTTCCCTGCCTCCCGGCTCTCATTCCAGGCAGCTGCGAGGAGAGTTTCCTAGGAGGGTCCCCGCCAGTCTCGCCCGGCGGCTCCCCCAAGGGGTCTAGGGCCGGTTCCCCTCCGCCAACCCCGCAAGTGCCCCGGGTAGATCTGCAGGGAGCCGAGCTGTGGAAGCGCTTCCATGAGATCGGCACCGAGATGATCATCACCAAGGCAGGAAGGTAAAAAGGCGCGGCGCGCACTCATCCAGTTCCGCCTTCTGGGGCAAAGGCACTAGGGCAAAAGTGTCCTTCTGCGCCGGGCTGTTCTGCTACACCGGTCAGGAGAGACGCAGAAAGCCAGCACCCAGCTTCTGCACCTCTGGGTGGGCGCAGCAGTACCGCGGAGGGAGAAGTTGCCTAGAAGTAATCGAAATCAGACGGCACAACCACATCACAATCAAACCGCCATGAGAAAACTAAAGAGTTCAGGCCCATTTTCCCGCAGGCAGCGCTTGGGTGCACGGGTCCTTGAAGAAAGCAGTAGTTTGTTAGTCATTTGCATCCCACACTCATAAATACAACAAATGAATAGTATAAACTGGCTTGTTAATTTCTAGTCTCCGGTCCAAATAACAGTTGCAGACAGGCACATTTCTCTTTTTCTTTTTCCTGTTGTTTCTTGGAACTAGGGAAAGCTGGAATTTCTAGGAGGCTAATATGGCTAAAATTAATTGTGAAGTCCATTGATAAAGGAAGATCAGACTGAATACAAATGAGACAGGATATCCTAACTGCCCTCCTGATTTATGCTATGCTCTCCTTCAGGTGGATAAACACATTGTCTCATAATATAGCTTTGTTCATTCATGTTAATCGAATACAAAATGTGATGCTGCAGCAGCCAGATTTGTTATGCTGTTTTGGACAGCTAATTTATAATAACTATACAGATGGCATGCACAGTCTAAAATCTGCAAATACATCAAAGTGGATAAAGCAAATTGATTTATGAGCTAGGTAGATCAGGATAATTTTAGATGGGCACAGGAGCATGTGGAGTTTTAGGTTTCCTGTTCATTAGGATGAAGTCTATGAATGTTGTATTCTTTTAAAATAAACTTTCCCCCCTTTCCAATGGATACACATGGCAAAAACCTGGCTAGTATAAAAATATCTGAACTTATTAGAAATTACAAAAACATATTTGATTGAATCCATATGCTACCTTCTCCATTTTCAGCGAGGCTTTATTAATGATTGAAATGCAGTCTTAACTAGCACAAAGCAACATTTGTCTTGAGGGTCCAGTCAAAGATTTTCCTTTTTTATCTTACAGGTGCACTGAAATAACAGTAGGAACCAGTTAGCCAAGGCAGTTTCACCCTGCTGTTTATTTAGAAATTATAGAAATAACATATATTTTTTCCTTCTACAATTTTAATTTCGCTAATTGTTTAAGAACAACAGAAAACATGGAATTTAATTTGGATGGCATTTGGATTTATGTAGTAAGAAAAATTCTTTTATTAGTATGCAATCAACTAGTCATTATAAAATTTCTTATTTTTGCCCTTCAGAATGAACTTTTCATCTAAAAGGCAAGTGTCAAACACACCCTGAATTGAGACATGATTTTTTTTATCTAAAATCTCCACATTGGTTAACTATTCCACTTTTGGACATCAAATGATCTAAATGATGAACTTATTTATAAACATACTTTGTACTTTGGTTTCTGCTTTCAATAAAGATGTTTTACTGTACCTTTCAAACACAGAGCAACTCATGGACTTCACCTTTAGTATGTTACAGACCGTAAGTCCCTTCTGAATAAGGAACATATTGTTTGGTTAGAGCATGGTACATTGAGTTTTATAACTGCATCCTTGTTTTATTTTATATCACCATGTCTCTAATGGTATGATTTGCTGATATGTAAGTGACACACCCTTTGCTGCTGTCAGTACTCATCTGACAATTTAAATTTCTGCAGGTTGTGATCTTGCTTGATAAGAGCTGTTACTTGCGCATCTCATGTAATATATGTCTAGTAAATGGCTAGCAGGTTTTAAATGCACATGTAGCTAAAATAAAGTCTCAAAACAAAATGACTTACTATCTAACAATAAAGCTGAAATTAAATGGCGATATTTGTACTCTCAAAATGTATCACAAAACATATGAAGTATTGTTCAGCAAAAATGCACTTTAAAAATCTGTTGTAACCTATCAAATGGACCATTTCGTGGCTATGTGGCCATAATGATCAAAAAAGACTCTTACAGACTTCTCTGTGTTAGGGAGGGAGAGGGTGCTCACAAACTGGTTACTTTGCTGTACTGTAAAACTGTTCCCAAATCCGTTTCATATTAAAATGACCTCCCTTTTTCTCTGTTCAGGCGGATGTTCCCCGCAATGAGAGTGAAGATCTCAGGTTTAGACCCACATCAGCAATATTACATTGCCATGGACATTGTGCCAGTGGATAACAAAAGATACAGGTACTGTAATTGTAAAACACAAAGCTTGTGATGCAAACCATACAGATATGGCTGTTGGCAGAGAATATGAATCAAATATATATGAACAGAAGGTAGAGTTTAACGCTCTTCCAAATTTCTATTTTCATCTCAGTGCATAAAAACAAGTTTGTTGTGCCAAGTGTGCAAGAACAACTGCAGTTTTTATTGAAGTGCTTTCTACATTAGGCTTATGTTCGATAGGTGAGCAGTCATTTTATTTTTTGCTTTCACAGACTGCAATTTAGCCCCATCAAAGAGAAATTTTTCATGTATTTTGTTCCTAGTCCACGGCTACATACATCCACTTTGTGTCCCTTTGTAGTTATTTCCTATCAATGAATAAATATTAAAATTATATATTCTAGTGACACTACATTAAAATGCAAAGCATTTAAATGTTCTTGAATTATGATTCAGATGGATTTATGATAAATGCTGCTCCTTGTGTTATGGATTCAGATTAAAAAGGGATAACAGGTAGGTATCTTTAGTGATTTTGATTTAAATGAACTATGGCATTTCTGTCTGTGAAAACTTCATATTTTAAAGAATATATTTATTAATGATTGACCAGTTATGCTAATTATTTCTTTAACACTTCAAAGAAGGGTCACATTTATGTGAACTCTTACCAGGGCAGTCCTGAGCTAAGCAAGTAGTCCTATGCCTGTTGGACTACTGGTCTGATGAAATGTTTGAAGGTTTAGGCCCACAATAATTACTATTAGAACGTTTAGAAACTTTATGAATCAAGGGCCTGACCTTATTTGCCATTAAAGTCAAGAGAAGATTTTTACCAAGTGGTTCAATGGGAGCAGGATTGGACCCTTACATATTATCATTTTGTTTATTTCAACCCATTGTTAGAACAATTCAGTAAATCTATTTCCCATAGGTTTAATTGTAGAACTATGACACTTTAATATAGGGGAAGAGGATCAAGCTGAACAGACTTACTCTCAAGGAATACTTTTTTCTCACCATACCAGCACTGAGTCTGAACTACATTTCTTGTGTAACTAAAATTATTAATTGTAATTTCCTCCTTTCATAGGCACATTTATGACAATTGTAGTTCTGTTTACAGAGAAATTTTCAGCAAGGTGACCATATAAACTCCGAGAACAATTCATATAGTGGGTGGGGGGGAGGAGAAAGGGTGTTTGTTTTTGGATTATGTTATAACAAACCGAAACAGGTTTTCTCTGGGCTATGGGCTAGAGCAGTTCAATTAAAATGGAAAATCTTTATGCTGATTTGGGTCCAAATTAAGACTTTGTCAGCTGGTCATAACAGAAATGTAAATTTACACAGTACTGTGAGCATGTAGTTTCTGATCTTTATAAACAGCGATCTTTATGTCAAGACTTGAATAACATTAAAAATTCTGATATTCAGATGAGGAAATTAATATTAAATAGTAGTAGTTTTAACAATGAATATGTCTTTTTCATTTTAAATATATATGTATTATTATAGTCCTTGCTGTCTGCATGGCTGACTATTAATTTTCCAAAAAAACAAATTCAGCTCATGTTATCATATATAAAATGCAGTATTTTCATGGTTGGTACACACATATTTTTGTTAAGAATTTAGTATTATGTTTATTTTATCTTCCTAGTAAATGGTGGTGTTACTTTTATCTGATTTCACTTTTCTGTAAGCAAGGCTCTTATGCAGTGGATGTATTCTTTTATACTAATTATTATTTTAGTCCCATTACTGTGCTTGATACTTTACAAACTGCCTGCCCTGAACATCTGAACAGCAAAGAGATACCGTAACAGTTGTACACTAGGCCCAATCCTGCTCCCCTTGAAGTAAATGACAAAACTTTAACTGAAATGGTATCAGCTGAGGATAATTTATATTTAAACTTAGCAAAATTAAACCTTATCTGAAAAGTTAGGTATTGTTTTAAAACATTTTAAATAAATTCAATGAAGTACAATTTGTAATGTTCACATCTTAATATTAAATATTAAATCTAATTCATTCACAAATTAAAAAGAATAATACGTAAGATAAGAAATATTAAAACAAATAACAAACTGTATGATTTAGGTAGAGGCTGTTTCTCCACAAGAAGGAATCACGAGAAGGTATCATAGATATCATTTCATAATTGATGGCTTCGTATGATTTACATCCATACATATTTGTAATGAATAATTTTGTTTCCACTATTGATAATGTTGCATATTCTTTTTTCTCTTAAAGAGGAGAACTGTACAAAGAGACATACCTGATGAAAGTGTTGAAAGACGTTTCTTAAAATTAAATCATACTGTTTATTTTTTTTGCTAAGGGCATTGTTCTTTTTTCTGAAGGGTGTATGCCTATCAGACATATTCATTTGCACAGTTTTTAATTAGTGGGTTTTAAAAAATACATAATCTACAAAATGGCTGAATTCAGAATAAGATATTTTTACTGAAGGATAAGACATTTTTACTGCAGAATGACTTTTTTTTTTTTTTTTTTTAATAAAAAGAAACATAATAGGATGTGGGTTTTTTATTTAAATATTTCTGTGGTACTGTCGAGAAGATCAATATGGTTCTCACAGAATTCTTCTCCTTTTAATTTCATTCTCTTTTTCATTGTCACAAGATGCGTTGTATCTGGAATAGTTTTATTTGTGGACTGTTTCATGTTAGAAACAACATGCTAAGTGAGTCATATAAAGAGTTGTTTATGTCATTGTATAGATTAAGGGCCAGATTTTGCTCTGTTTATACTGGAGGCCATCCAGAGTGATGCCATTGAGATCAGTGGATCTATCCCAGCGTAATTGGTGGTTAGTGGAAAGACTGCAACTGGCTTTAATGAGAGTTGGATCAGGCTCTAAATGAGAGCAGAATTTGGTCCTGTCTATTGTAGATACTTTTGCTAATATTTTGTAACTCAGCTGTATGCAGCAACTGAAAATTGAAAGTTGAAATAAAAGTAAATTAAACATGTTATTTGCAGCAAAGAACACAATTGTGTTTCTTAGTGCAGCTATTAAGGTAACTTGACAGTGGTGAGAGAGAAGGCTCCCCAAAATGCTGTGACTTTGTTTATATTGATTACTTGCCTTTTATCTCTCAAATCTCAGTTGAATTTCCTCACTATTTTTATAGACTTCTTTTAAGTTGGTTATTTTCCCTCTTTTTTTTTTCCTGTTGGAAAAATGATCACTTCTCTCTGGGATATTGTGACTAGATCCATTGTAATTATTGTCCCTCAACATTTGTACATTGACGGGTGCTGTACATATGAAGTCCTGCTATATCAATATAAATCAGCCTGATGAATTATTTCCAGTTCAATTCTGACAGATGTTGGGCTTCTTTTTATAGGTATGTTTACCATAGCTCTAAGTGGATGGTGGCCGGGAATGCTGATTCACCAGTACCTCCTCGTGTGTATATTCACCCTGATTCACCCGCCTCAGGGGAGACTTGGATGAGGCAAGTGATCAGCTTTGACAAACTGAAACTTACGAACAATGAGCTGGACGATCAAGGGCATGTGAGTATCCCATGTCTTACAATATTGCAAACTAGCACATCAGTCATCAAATAAAGATTTTATGATGTATACCTTCCTGTTGACAAGAATGAACTCAGCCTTGCAAAGCTTCATAAAAATTGACCAGCACACATACAAAATCTGCTCGTTCTTTAGCTTTGATAATTGATTGATGATTTTTTAAAAATGGCTGCTAGTTTATTTGCCCCTCAAAAATATAAGACCCCTGGATAAATAGAATTGTGCAAGACTGGATTAACTAAACTAAAAGTACAGAATTGCTCTCATATTTTACCACCATATCTATCTATCTTGCAATTTCAGTTTTTATCAAAAAAGTGTGCTTAAATTCACAAGTATTGCGAATAAATGTTAGTAATATGTAATAAGTTTATGTGAATAAAAAGTACATTTAACTGTTTTTTTTTAACCTAAACATTCGTGTGAAATCCCATGGGGTGTTAATAATTGCACTCCAAAATGAACAACATGGGAGCTGGGTTCACTCTGATAATGATTTATTACATACCTTATGAAGCAAGACCCTTTCACAGCTGAGGCTCATTACTTCTGAAAAAGCTGGCAAACTGCTGCAGTATGAGTGCTCTGTTTGCAAGCTATGAATTGTTTAGTTATGACATTATCTAATGTGACAAAATGTGTTTATATTCATATTTCCTTTTCTCTTGAAAACTGTTGAAACATGACAGATGTAAGCCAGCATCTTTCCAACAATCCCTAAAATAGTTGTACTTGACACCTTAGGAAATAATTAAAAAACAAGAATTGTTTTTAGACAGGATGAAGTCTTTACTTTGGACAAATCCAGTAATAAATGGCAATTGTTGGGGTTCTTTCAAAAGGAACATTGAATTCAAAGTGTCTAGAGTTTTAGGAACTTGAGTGACAAGTCACAGACTGGATGTGGGTTCCATTGACTCTAAAGTGGCCAGACTTATTAAATAGGATGATTCCTCAGTCACGAAAAGGGATAAAATGGAATACCCCGAGTACTATATGCAAAGATGCTATATATAGCTATCAGCACTTTTCTTCTGTGCACATTTCCCATTGAAGTCAGCGGGACCACTGCTTGCAGAACAGTGTGAGAACATGGTCCCAATTGTAAATTCTACAAGCACCTCCATTTTCTCTAAAGAAAATATGTGTCTATAGGGAACGTCTGTACTGCAGTCATAGGGTGTGACTGGAGCTTGGGTGGACGTACTGAGCTAGCTGTAATCTAGCCCGGTTGGGTACCGGAGCAGTGAAATCAGGGTTCCAGGTGGGCTTGTACAGCCCATGCTGAATGTCCCTACATGGGAGGGGGTAGTAAAGTGATGGGGCCAAGTCATACCTAATTAAATAGTGGATTTGCACTAGAGATAAATCTGGTCCAATAACTCTGCTGTGTTAAGCCTTGTTCTTTATCTCGGCAGTCTTTTTTCAGTTCTTTGCCTATCCTTTGTTTATGTTACATAGGTGTGAGCAACTATTTTTTCCCATCTGATTGCAAGAAAGAGTCATACTATGTTATCGGCAGATGTTGCCGGAGTCAGATTGCTGTTTCACTGTAGATACGGCCATAAAAGGTTTTGAATTAACAGTATTTCTATTTAGGATTTAATGCCTCCCCCCAATATTTACACTGTATATCTGTGGAATTATGATCCGGGGGGTCTGATTCTGTGGTCCTGGAATGAATAAAATGTTATTCAGCCTGAGAAGTTCCATGGGCTTCAGTGGGATTACTTGTGTATCTGCAATTAATGTGAACACGGGTTGCACCAACATTTTACTGAAGTGCTTAAAAAAAGTGAAGAGAGCTGCAATTCTGGAAGACTCCAATTCTACAGCTGACAGGCTGTGTCGACACTTGCAGTTAGTAGTGTGATTCTGAGATCGTATAGACATACTCGCACTGTGTGCTAAAAATAGTAGTATAGTGTTGGTAGCCTGGGCAGAAACGAGTGGCAGCCTGACCTAGCTGCCCCAAGTATGTACTCATGAGGTCCAGACCGGTTTGTGCTCAAGGCAGTTAGCCAATGCCACCCCGCACCGCTGCCCCATGTTACTGCAGCTACACTACAGCTTTTAGCTTGCTAGTTCCATGAGAGCTATAGAGAGTATGTGTAGGTGAGCTGGGAATCACACCCCTACCTCCAAGAGGAGACGTAGCCAACTGTCCAGGCAGATTGTTGTAACCATTGACTTCAGTGAGGCTACATATGGACACAGCAGTCTGCCCATGTACTATTAGTTGCAGGACTGGGGCTCAAGATTTAATCTTGAAGATGGACAAAGAGCTAAATTACTGTATTTACTGTACTGTATGCTGTATACTATACTATATTGTGCAAGGCCACATTTCAGGCTTTCCTCCCCCTGAGCGGAAATCCACAGTGTTTGTAGCACATCCTTATTCATGGTGCAGAGAAATTTAAAATTACTGGAGCGCTCTTTATTTATTAAAGTTTCAGTTGGAAGCTAGCCAAGTAGTATTCTTCTACAGAGATTCAAGATACATTGAACTGATTGAGAACTGCAACATCGCCCCCTCCCAAAATAAAATAAAAAATGGAAATTTAAGGGTTTTTTTTTAAAAGACAATAGACGGTTGGTTGCAAACTTCATATTTCTAAAATCTGGGACATGGCAAACACTCATCCTTATCAGAAAAGGCAAAAACAGAAAGCAGAGAAGTGTCTATTTCAATGGGTACATTTTTTCTTTTTGAGTAGCATGGAATGCAGAATTGAAATGGCTATGCAGCCTCTGGGGGCCTCCAGCAATATTGGAAAAGGAAAAATTGCATATTTTTTGATGAATATAAGAAATAATTATGTTTCACATAAATGGTAATTACCCACTTTTCTCTGCATGGTGGCAAAAGAGAGGGGTGTTAGATAAGAAGAGCTAGCAGTCAGGCCCACATAGTCTCCCAAAATATTATTTTTTATATTCAAGGTCTGAATCTTCTTTCCTCACATCCTTAATTTGGTGGATTTTATGCTTTTGCAAAGTTTATTTTCACTGTGCTCAGGCAGAATGGCTTGGAGAAACCTCCACTTGGCTTCTACAGTTCTGCTCCACACTCACCTCTTGATGGTCATATAAGGAGAAACAGAATTTAGCCTTTGAACACATTTTACATGTGTCCAGTTCTCCATTTTGACACCCTGTTGATTTTGCTCTTTCCAAACACCTATATTCTTCCTAAGTATGGCCAGTTTACACACAAGTTTCTCCGCTAGTGTTCTGGGGCTTGATTCTGATCCTTCAGCAACATAACTCCATTGACCTCCATGGAATGACAGTCGTGTGCGATGAGTTGGAGCGCTTAATCTACACTGTAGTACTAACTTACTGGTACTGGCAGCAGGGCCAGTCACATTTCACAAAGCTGCTTGCTGTTGCAACTAATCAACGACACTAAGTAAATAGGTAAAATACTCTAAAGTCAATGTTACACATTTTTAAGGGGCATGTTAAAATATTAGCTAACCCAGGTGCCCTACTATCCTCAAGCTGTACGTGTAACTCCCATTCATGTGAGTTGGGGCTACATATGTGAACTGTTGGGGCTACATACGTGAACTTTACAACATATTAGTAAACATTTATGTTGTGAAAGTGACTAATGGCCAGCCAGGTCAGGGCCCTGTGCAGAATGACAGTAAGTGACAGTGCCTTCCCCAATTTTAGCCCTTTGTTTAGAACTGAACATGGCTACATTTCTTAATATTTTAGGGCCACTCACTTTGCTGTTTGAACACTTCCTGTAAACACTCTTGTGTGCTAATGTTGTCATCAGCATTTTGATTGGGAGTCCTTGTCTTCCCACTTTTATAGTAATGTTGTATAAACAGACACATGGAACAGATCTTGAAGTGGTTTTGCACATAGAATCCCCATGTGAATTTTGCATGTGGAACAACTGGAGGGTCAGGTGAAATTTATAAAGACACATTTTCAATGTGATACTTGCATACTTAATGGGAGTCACCCAGTTAATTTGTCGCCGACTGCTTTGAAAAGGTAATGAATCTTAAATTATACAGGGCAGTAATCTCCACTGAGACACTGGGGTATAATGCTGTCCCTTGAAAGACATCAGTATCATTAATTAGAGATTTTACGATGATGAAAAGGAAATCTTCATATTACGACTGACACAGATACACAAACATGCTGCACACATCACACGTGCATACGTCCTCTTTCTTATACTAACCCCTTTCCCCTGCAGTCTCTGGAATAGAGGCTCCCAGGTAATATCAATCTTCTTTGATTAGAACTGGTTGAAATTTTCACACCCTTTTTATCAAGATTTCAATGGAAAAAAATTCAATATTTTGACATTCTTCCACTAACTACTTTTGATGCAGAGTAAATTGTTTTAACCCCTAGTTTGAAATAGAGTCCTACCTGTGGTATTGAAATTGAATTAAATTTGTCTATTTTCTCCCCTCTGTAATGCAGTGGTCAGATTACAGGTGGAGGCAGGCCATTGTTCTGCTCACGTTCAAAAGTTCAGAGTAGCTGTAGATTTTTTGTTAAAATGACCTGCAGTGAAAAGTTGAAAGTGTTGCCATTTAAATTTGCATTGCTAAGTTTTGTGAAGGTGATAGGGGGCAGTTTATACGTCTTAGACCCAAATGTTTCTCCCCACGTCCAAAGCCTGAATAAATGAGCTTTGCACAAAGGGTCAAAAAGGATTTTTGCTTGGTTGGTTGGCTTGGTTTTCAAGATGTGGGGAAAGGAACCTGGCAGCTAGGAGAAAAGCCCCTTGTGCTGCTAGGCTGCAGGCAAGTGGGGGAGGACCCCTGTTGTGCTGGTGTTATTGATTGTCTTTTGGTTATGCATAAGGCTCCCATCATTGGGCTCCATTGTGACAGGCATTCCATAAACACTCCTTAGAAAGTCCCTGCTACAAAAAATGTCACGTGTGGCTGTGCGTTCATTGGCCCTGTCACTTTGTATGGAAAAGGGGAGTTGCAGCAAGGTCCTTCTGCATGGTGTGCATGCCCATGGAGCAGTAACATTGGCTTCCCTTGTGTTTAGGGCCAGCTGTAGCCACTGCTAGGGCCAAGGTTTGTTCTTTGGTGCTGTTGTTTTGTTCTTTGTCATTCCGCATTAAGAACAAGATCTTCACCACTATGGGGTAGATACTTAAGTCATTTAAAAAGAAAGCTTAAATGCTGCAAGAAATGATAGCACCACCAGACAAATGATGCCATGGTACACTGATTAGCACCTTCCATCACAGGCTGCTGTGCCTCTTCTCATGGTTCCACTGAAATATTTGTTTTTATAGCATGGTCAGGAAGCTGAAGACCTTCATGGGTAATCAGTACAAGAACAATGAGCCTAAGGGAACAACAGGGAAGAGAGTGAGAACAAGATATTAACATAGTCATTATTTAAAAAATCCTAACGATGCGATATTAACATTTAAGATGAGCTATTCTGCAAGTAAAATTAAAGTGTGTGGAAAGCCAGCTTGCTTCCTAGGAACTGGACTGTCAGTTTGCAATTGCAGTTTGTGTTGTTGCACTGTCCCTGGAGCAGCCTGGGAGGGAGATTGGGACTCTTCAAGTCACAGAAATGGCGTGCCTGCCTTCGACTTCCTTACTCCCATTCACAGGGCGGACCATGGCCTGGATCTAAAGGAAATGAACCAGTATTTTGTTACACCTCGTAACGTACTGAGCTGCTTGTCAATTTGAGTATAATTATCTTAAATAAAGAATGGACTGGTCTGAGATGGGTGTCGTTGACTGGGTCATGCTGTGTAATGAATTATTAAAGGTATGCAGCCAACTTAAAAAAATAAGTTCAAGGTAATGTCAATTCTTTGGCCATTTTTGTGGTTTGCATGTTTCCTGCTTTTTAAAAGACCCACACAAACAGGGGAACCTGACTGATTCTCCAGGGACAACGGTGTAGAGCCAGTCTACTCAGAGCTATTAAATGCACAGAGGAAGCAAACTGAAAACATAGAGCTTCTTTTCTCTAATCTCTCCGTGATAGGAATTATAGGCATTACTAACAACAATAGAGGGTAATACATTTTCAGGGAGAGGTGTGATTTAGTTATTTGTTTATTAAATTGGCAATGTCTTGGGCCCACTTCACCATTGCCCTGCACCTTGTGTAGTCATTTAACCCAGTACAAAGGCTGTGTGTATGTAAACTTCTGCCTAATCAGAATAGTAGAAAAGCAATTTATCCCCACTGTATTTTCCACTGAATGCATCCAATGAAGTGAGCTGTAGCTCACGAGCGCTTATGCTCAAATAAATTGGTTAGTCTCGAAGGTGCCACAAGTCCTCCTTTTCTTTTTGCGAATACAGGCTAACATGGCTGCTACCCTGAAACCTGAAATTTATATTCAATTATGCTGGTGTAAATGACTAGGCAAGGTGCAGGGCAATGGGCAACTGGGGTTCTACTGTATAGTTTTAGCTTGATCCTGCATTTTTAATACACCCATTACTCTCTTACATCATCAGGTATTTAGGGTGTGCAAGGAATGCAAGATCAGACTTTTGCTGTTATTTACCTGCTAATTCTTCTTTTATAGAGATTTTTCCAACAGAAAAACTCTGGAAAGATTGTTGGAAGAGATATTTAAACACTCAATTCAACAAAGCCAATATCTAGCCTTTCGCTGTAAGCGAGGCTGCAGAAGCTGGGGAAGACACCTTGAATTAGAATAACCATAGGTAGGGCCCTACCAAATTCATGGTCCATTTCGGTCAATTTCATGGTGATAGGATTTTAAAAATCGTAAATTTCATGATTTCAGCTATTTCAAGTGCAGGGTGCTGTACTTGTAGGATCCTGACCCAAGAAGGAGTTGTCGGAGGGTCGCAAAGTTATTGCAGAGTAGGTTGTGGTACTGCTACCCTTACATCTGCACTGCTGCTGTCAGCGGCACTGCCTTGAGAGCTGCTGGCCAGGAGCCCCGCTCTGAAGGCAGAGCCGCTGCCAGCAGCAGCCCAGAAGGAAGGAGGGCACGGTACGGTGTTGCCACCCTTACTTCTGGGTTGCTGCCTGCAGAGCTGGGCCCGCAGTCTGCAGCCGCCACTCTCTGGCTGCCCAGCTCTGAAGGCAGCAGTGCAGAAGTAAGGGTGGCCTGGAGTGGTATTGCCACCCTTATTTCTGCGCTGCTGCTGGCAGGGTGCCACCTTCAGAGCTGGGCGCCCGGCCAACTGTGGCCGCTCTCTAGCTGCTGAGCTCTGAAGGCAGCACAGAAGTAAGGATGGCCATGCCGCAACCCTCCTAAAATAACCTTGCGACCCCCCCTGCAACTCCCTTTTGGGCAGGACCCCCATTTGAGAAACGCTGGTCTCCCCCTGTGAAATCTGTATAGTGGAGGGTAAAAGCACATAAAAGACCAGAGTTCACAGGGGGGAGACCAGATTTCATGGTCTGTGAGGTGTTTTTCATGGCTGAGAATTTGGTAGGGCCCTATCCATAGGGGACTGTCTGAAGTCATTTACTGGAGCTCTTCTGATGTCATTGTCAAAAAGCCCAATTGCAATGTAATGAAAACCTTGATTATCCAGAAACTTTGCTTCTCCAAAACAGGATTATGTCCCCCAGCCAGGACTAAATGTATTAAAAAGTACTCTGCCTAGCCAACCCTTGTTTATCCAAGCTAATTTAATGACCCCATTTTGTTTGGAGAAATGAGGTTTCATGGTATTTGGCATTATTCAGGCCATGTGACGTTAAGGGCTCCATGTTGTGATGTCTGATTGCATAAGCACTCTGCGGCTGCTAAAGAAGCAGGAAATTTAAAATAGGTTGCTCTTGAATCTTGATTAAAGCTTCTGCAAGCCAGTAGCTATGGGACTGGTGATTTATTTATTGATTAGACCTTCCAAAATTGCCAAGCTTCTGATTTTTTAAAAAAGAAATCTTTATTAAAAGTGTGTTTATCTTTAATGAAGTGGAAGAAAACATAAGGACAAAACTTCGATGTTTTAAGCCTCCTTCAAAATGTAGAAATACCACCGCAATCCTGCAAACGATTATGGATGTCTTTAATTTGAGGCACTGATATTCATAAGATTTTTATAGAATTTGGGCCTAAATCCTTAGTAAAGGGAATTGTTCTTTTTCCTAAATTGACACATGTATATTATGGTGAGTGTAGATATTATTCCCGTATAAGTAATGCTCCTTGTATCTGTTTACATACTGTAAATACACAGCTTTCAGAGTAGAAGCCGTGTTAGTCTGTATCCGCAAAAAGAAAAGGAGTACTTGTGGCACCTTAGAGACTAACAAATTTATTTAAGCATAAGCTTTCGTGAGCGACAGCATCCAAAGAAGTGAGCTGTAGCTCACGAAAGCTTATGCTCAAATAAATTTGTTAGTCTCTAAGGTGCCACAAGTCCTCCTTTTCTTTTTGTAAATACACAGTGGCTAACGTTTGCAACTGTGACATTTGGAGGTTTTCTTCAAGCCACTGCTCTTGGAGTCATGAGAATCTCAGCTTTCATTTTAAATACAACCCCAACAAAGTATGTTTCTAGCCCTTATGGTCACAAAAGCCAACCAACCAAATCCACCACCACCATACTTCAAGCATTTTCAATATTGTCTTAAAGATTCAAAATCCAGAAAGCAAACTGATTTTATTTTAGAAAAAAATCTCATATGGTGAAATCCATCCCCACTGAAGTCTATGGCAAAATTCCTATTGACTTCCGTGAGGCCAGCATTTCACCCGTGATTTTTAAGCCAATCTCATTATTTTTTGACTTCCTCACTCATTAATTTTGAATGTTTAGGGATGGCAATGTTGTAAGTACATAGTGATTAGACTACTGTAATGACACCATTATAAATTATAGAAAACTTAATTTCCAGGAAATTGCATGATAAGCAACACATGCCATAATCTTTTTCCAAAATGCTACCAGCATTGAAACAGCGGGGCATCCTTTCTAACAAATATTACCTTTTCTTTGTTTTCTTTTGTATAGATTATCCTTCATTCTATGCACAAATACCAGCCTCGTGTCCATGTCATTCGTAAAGACTGTGCAGATGATCTGTCTCCAGTCAAGCCCATTCCTTCCGGAGATGGCGTCAAAGCTTTCTCCTTTCCTGAAACCGTTTTCACTACTGTAACAGCATATCAGAATCAACAGGTAACTTTGGCTTTTTAAAAAATATTTTACTGGCTTTTCAGAATATGTCAGACAAGTACAAGAGAAGAAAAGGATAAACTTTTACTTCACCACTTAGTAATAAGGCATTTGTCTAATACTCTAAATATTTAAAAGCTTTTTGTATGACTGTAGCATGTAGATGCCACAACTGAGACAGGAGTGCCAGTGTGCAAGGCACTGTACATAGTAAGAGATGGTTCCTGCCCTGAAATTCTTGCAGTTTGAATAGACAGGACATAAGAAGTTCTATCCCTGTTTTACAGTTAGGGATTGAGATACAATTCCCAGGGGAGTTGGGTGCCTAATACCTATGAGGATATGGGCCAAAGAGGTTATGGCTACACGTACAGCGCTGCAGTGGTGCAGCGGCACTGGTGCAACGTGTCTGTTGAAGATGCTCTGTGCCAACGGGAGACACTCTCCCACCGACATAGCTCTGTGCACACTAGCGCTTATGTTGGTGGAACTTATGTCACTCGGGGAGGTGGAATATTCACACCCCTGAGCAACAGAAATCTTGCTGACATAGGCTGTAGTTTAGACATAGCCTGAAGGCCAGATTTTTAAAGATATTCTGCCTCAAATGCAGATAGGTACATAGGCACTTCTGAAAATCCCATAGGTGCTTAACTCTCACTGACTTCAAAACACCTTCCAACGTTAGTCAAGTATTGATGTCCCCAAGTTGTAAAAGGGGAAGTTAGTTTTTAATTTAGTAATTAATAGCTTTCATTAACTTCTAAAGGAGCAGGATTGGCCCATAAACAACCTATTCAAATTAACGCCGTGAGCTGCAGAGAAAAAATTAAAACCCAGGTTGCCCGACTCCGAGTCTTCTGCTCTAACCATGTTGTCTAAGTATAACACACAATGACATCATATTTAGTATAGTCGCATTTTATTCATTCTAAATAATTTAGCACAATTATGTTTTGGTTTGTGTGTATTTGTGTATATATAAATATAAACTTTGTGCTTATTAATGACCTACTTTCTTCAGAAAGTAGAAAGCAAAATGATTTAATGATGCAATATAAATTTAAAGGGGGAGAGTCATCTGATTGATGGGCTACCATTATTTGGTAACTATTTTGTTGATTTAAAGAAATTACAAGTATTTTTTTTCTTGTGTTCCATTTGTTTATAGTATGTACATGTGAACATAGCAGCCTAACAGAAATCTTTCTCATTCAGCATCTCCTTCTCTGTTTGTATATATGTTATGTAACTCTGTCACAGACAAGGAGGCTATGCACTGTCTTAGTTGAAGCAGGAACATTTTCCAGACAACTTCTTTCAAGAATCCCAACCAGCCTTTGTGTAAAATAAACACTCATTGACTTCCTTGGGGGATGTATGCAGAGAATGATTGCGGGGTTAGGTCTTAATGTATCGTGTTAAAAAGAAAAACACATTCAACCTGCAAATGGGAAGAAAGATCCACTTGAACTTTTATAATTCTTAAACAGAATTAAAATGGAAAATTCCAATGACAGCTCAGGTTTGGTGGATATATTTGCTATGCGTATCATTTAAACTGAATTGGTAAAAGTTTTGCCATCACTTTCTTTTATTATCTTTACAGATCACTCGATTGAAGATTGACAGGAATCCATTTGCTAAAGGATTTAGAGATTCTGGACGTAACAGGTAAGCTTTGGAAAAATGGGTTTGTCTGCAATGACAAAATCAAATTGTTAAAGGATTTAAAGAATGGTTACCATGCACACAAAAGGGAGTTTCTGTTCTTACAGACCTTTCAAGCTTGCAAGAACTAGGTGTCCCAGTGCTAGCCCTAGAGTTATAGAATTAAACCTAAATTCTGTGGATGTAATGACAGTATACAGCCTTGAAAGTTCAGTGTTTAACTTGATTCATGTACTAATATATACTGCAGCTTATGGACATAGAACACAAAAAGAAAACTTGCACACTGTCTGAACGGTGATTCTTTTATGAATTACATTCTAAACCCTTCCACCTGAAAAAGAAAGCATGTAATTGTATTGCACATGGTGCAGTAATTTCAGTTACCACTTTGCATTTTGTTTTCTACAAGTGCCGTATTTATGAGCTGATCTTCCAGAGAAGAGAACAAACTGTGTCAGTAAAAATGTTCAGTGAATGCCTGCCAGTTTACTGAGCTTCTATTTTAGTAGAAAGGTGAAGCATTGGAGATCAATTTCGGCTCACAGCAAATCGCAGAAGAGCTCAGATTCATTTTTGGAGAGCAAATTAGTATTTTTTTAAATGGATGATGTTGGGAGAGGAGGAGATGAACATTACAGCACCTAGCACTGTGTGGGGGTACTGGTCCATGACTAGGGCTTCTAGGTGCTATGATAATACAAATAATAAATACTAATAATAGAAGGGGAGAGATCACTGATAGGAATCCATTACAAAGTATCTTAGACTTTCACACTGAGCACTTGGATTAAGAGTCTTCCTGATTGGAAATAATTGGCCAAACTCAGCCCTGGGACAAAATAGGCACCACTCCATTGGCAGAAGGGAGTTGTGCCTGAATATGCCAGTTGCGAACTTATGTTTGCAGTGTTGTTGTAGCCGTGTTGGTCCCTGGATATTAGAGAGACAAGGTGGGTGAGATACTATCTTTTATTGGACTAACTTCTGTGGGTGAGAGCGACAGAGCTCTTCTTCAGGTCTGGGAAAGCTTTGGTGAACTTAGTCCTTTATTTTAGAATTGAGTAAACAACTAACTTCCAGATAGAGTTAGTTAAGGAAGAAGCAAATTAAATTTGCTGAATATGCTACATATTTAACAAGAGAGAGAAAGTCACCCTATGTGCCTCTGAACTCCTTCAATGACCATCTGATGGTATATTTGATATATCTTTAGCACCAGCACTATTCTTGGGGCTGTCAAATATCCAAAAGTAAATAATCCCTGCACAGAAGCCTTTGGAGAAAATCCTCACACCACTGCAGTCAATAGCAAAACTCCTACTGACTTCATTGGGGCCAGATTTCATGCTTTATGTTCCAGCAGACACCCTCAGAAGATGGGATGCACTTTGAAATCCAAAGGTGGGGATAAGTTAGAGACCAGTCTTGCAACTGGGTATGCATGGATAGAGCTCCATTGACTTTCCTCACGTTCTGTGTGATTGCAGGGGCCCAACCACACAGATCCTGTTTCAGGATTGGGACCTGCTTGTTTTTGTTTTTGTTTTAAATTAAATTAATTAAATGCTGTTTGTGTGGACGTTGAATGAAAAGTGTGATTCAGAACAAGGAGAGCATGATGGAATTCCACTGAAGAGGGCCTCTGTGCAAATGGTTTTGTTCTGCTTTTAAATACAAATCTAAATGCCCTTTTGTTGCAATAAGGATGTTTATTGTAGAAGGGGCCAGATCGTCAGCTGCTACAAATTGAGGTAGCTCCATTGAAATCAATAGTCCTGTGCTGGTTTACACGCACTAAGGACATGGCCAAATACATTTGGGAATGTGCTTCATATTTTTAATTCTTTTTGCAGCAAGTTTTTTATTCTTTGAAGAATCTAAATGTAAAGGCTTTATTTTCCACAGCCTTCTACAGCATGTCTTTTACGAAAGCATGATAGTCTGTACCGAAAGTTAAAAATACCGTGGTGTCATTGCATTCTCCTTTTGGATGCATTTTAATTGTCTATTGTGCTGCAATAACTTTGCCTTGTAACACTACATAAAACAATTCTGTTTAATTAAAAATATTCCCTTTCAGGTCATTTACAGTCTCACAGGCTGCTTTATAAAGATCAGTAGCCTTGCCCTTTAAAAGCACCCTCTGTACTTTTGCAAAGTGAACCAGAATTTATGTGCTGAGAGTCGTTTCATTCTTCAGTTAGGCCTTAGGTTTGACCCTATAAAAATCTTTTACTCAGGAAGGTACCAAAATTTCTTTTCTTTAAATACTTCAGGAAAAACATAACTGTTTTGTTAAATAAACTTGGCCATTTAATAGCATAAATTAGGGTGGTGATAAAAAGTGGAAATTGTTCGACGGCATCTTGTATAAATTATCGCCTTGGCTACTCTCCTCCAGGAGGTGGCTTTTATCTCCACTTTAACTAGAAGTGAAAAGTCACCATTACTGCAGAAAATGAAGGCTATGTTTTAGTCCAGGTTCAGCTAATAAATACTTTATAACTGTTTCCTGCAACATATCTGTGATCCTGCTGGAACTGCAGTGTGGAAAAAGCAATATCAGAAGAGAATGTGGATGGTCTCAAATCGGACCATTTGCATATTTTCATTTTACAGAGTGTTGCTGTTCAAAGGCAAGCATTTGTTTGTGGTATGTGCTCGATATCGACACTTAACAAGCCTTATGAGTTTAGCACTCAAAACTAGCAGCCAAATTATACTGGTGTGCTGACATTGTAGCTTTGTTTGTGAATTTGTGGCACAAAAAGCATGACCTGTATATAGGTATACCTGTATATTTGTATAAGATCAAATTGATTTATATAAATGTATGTGGCACATCCAGTGAGTTGAGTGGTTAGTCAATTATTTCTATTTGTCATTCAAAAGCTTGTAAAGGCTGAGAGAAAACTCTTGAAGCTATTTTCTAAAGATATTTTTAATCCAATAGCGCCCAGTAACAGGCTCAAAAAGAGTAGCATATCCATGAGTCATGCATCTTGTATGCACAATTTTCTAAGGCAAGGAGAGTGTTGAATCACATTTTAACAGAAGTTGTTTTATGGATCACTTTCCTTCTAAAATGTGAGATGGCAGATCATCCTTCAGGCAATCAGATTGATGTGGAAAAGTCCTATTAGGGAATTATTAAAGGTACTGCTAGCAGTTTTTTAAAGTGATTTAGCAGCTGGAAACAAGAAGAGCCAGCACCATGGGACCAGCCAGCTCTCTGCGACCACCAGCACGTTCACTGCAGATCACTGGTGGTCCATGGACCAGAGTCTGAGAAACATTGTTCTAAAAATATTTTTTTTCCTGAAACATACAGTGTGTGTGAGACTGAGTGATGAACTAGCTACAAAAAGTGACAAACCAAAAACAGATCATTCTTTTCACATAGTGGTGTTTTTGTTCTATTTAGAATGGGACTGGAAGCTTTAGTGGAGTCCTATGCATTCTGGAGACCTTCACTGAGGACACTTACATTTGAAGATATACCTGGGATCCCCAAACAAGGTAATAATCTTATTTGTAGTCCTGAAAAAACAAAATGTCTAAAGATAAAATTGTGCTACCACTCCTTATGAAAAACTTAGATTTGTGTATCACCTACAGAAAAACTAAGTTAACTCCAGATGCAGATGATAGGTTTTTTATTTCCAGAGATAGAAATAAACTAATTTAACCAGGTTTGCAGTGAACAGGACAAAAGAGATCTATTATTGTAGCTTCTAAAACCCGGTATAGAATGTTTCAGTAAATTCACTATTCTACAATGTTATGCCAGTAATCATAAAAAGGGCGTCGGATACTATTACTGACATAGCTATGTATTAACTTGAACATTCCCCCAGTACTTAATTTGCTTTTCACCAAGGATTAAGCCTTTGAAACTCCCAAATCCATTAATCCAGACTAATATGTATATTACTAAGCACAGAAAACCTAACCAACCTCCCCTCCCGCCCCCCCAAAATTAACAACAATTACAACAAGCTTTCATTAAGCAGGAACTGAAGTTGGGAATATTTTAAGAAGTGGGGGAGCCCTAAGAGAAGTGTTGAAGGTCTCTCAAGTAAACTCACAAATGTTAGCCAGAAATTTCAAAATAAAGACTACACTTAAAATAAATATGGAAGTGCATAGTAAAGATCACCCAAACTACCGTAATTTTGCTCCATTCCACTTTGTCTCTTGTGCACCTGTTACCTCTTACTTGTAAAATGGAGATATTCGGGTGACGGACTCTTGCTAAATGAGGTTTTCATAGACTCTAAAGGCTGTATTTTGTGGCTATCTACTTTGGGTCTATGCAATAAGTGTCTATGCTATGCACGTCTTCCCACTTACTCTGATGTTTTGCTGCATGTGTTGTCAGTCTTTTGGTCCAGCCCTTCTGAGGTTTGTAGCTGTATATCTTGCAGTATCATGACATTTGCATTTGAATTTCCATATGTCTGGAGAATTGTCCTGAGAATGGTGCCCTTTGAAGAAAAGAAGTAGAAAGCTGACTGTTTCCAATAATTGCATAAGGGTGTTAATTTAAAATTTGGCAGGAGTAGCTTGTGATCGGCAGTATAAGGGAGGGTACTTCTGTTTAAATGCTGCTGCAGTGGACGTTTAATTTTTCTTACGGAGTAAGGTTATCAAGTTAAGTCAGTTCTTGGTTTTAATGCCACTAATGTGGCTGAAGATGTGAGTTATTAAGGACAGGATGGTCTCTTGGTCTTGGCCGTTCTTGGGCAGAGATGCAGGGGCAGAGTTCGTTTATAGGTGACTTTCACCATGTATTTCCAGACTCTCTCTTTCGTGTGGTTTTAGTTTTCTTTAAAAAAGTGTGGGTGGGCTGGGAGCGGGTGTTGAAGTATCTCATAGATATTGGCAAATTTAACACTAACTTTCCTTTGGAGAAACTCCTTAGATTCTGAAAAACATAAGAACTGCTCAGCAAGGCGTCCCTGTGGGGTTTGCAAACTGCCTAGAGACTCCAGCAGACTTTGCAAAGAGCTAGAGACTGCCTCTCTCCATGTGGCTTTCTCTGGCCGGCTGTGTAGGCCACACCCCTTTTTATGGTTTCCTGCCTCCCCCTTCCCCCATAGTGGGGAGAGCTATGTGGAGGAGGGGGCACATAAAGTGGAACTTCTTGGGCAGAGGCAGATCACTCTCTGGGCCTGGGTCCCCTCTCCACCCCAAACCATCTCTCTGTGGGTTCAAGTGTACGTGTCATCCCTCCCCACCCAAACCAGATCTCTTTTGCTGCTTTCAATGCCTCCCCACCCATGCCAGGTGCTTGCCTGACTGCAATCATGCCCCCTGGCCCCAACCTTTGTGGTAGTCTCATTCACATCAAGAAGCTTTAATAAATCCTCAGAGCCTATAGTATACATAGAAACCACTTTTAATAACTAGCCTCTTTCCTCCTCCACCTTCTAATAAAACACAAAAGCAGTCCTGGGCTCCAATCCTTGCCCTGGCCAAACACAAAACTGGAGTTTCTGTGCCAAGCCATTTTGAGTTACAAAAAGCCAAAAAAGGCCAGGAGAGTGTTCAAGAAGTGAAATCATCTTCCTTTTTAAAAAAAATCGTTGGATTTCCAAAACACAGAGCTTTACTTGCCTCAAACTTTCCAGAGTAGCTCTACGCCAACATAATATCATACGTGTGAAACTTCAGACATGTTGGCTGAGTTCTGGCAAGGCTAGTTGTATGTGTGTGTGAGCAAGAGAGAGAGAGAGAAGGCTTGACATAGAAAGCTGACTTCATACTATGGAGATACTTCAGTACATAAGCCCCCAAAGGCAGTTTGTGCTGCTTGCTTACCAGGCTGAGCTATCCAGGAGGCAGATCAACCCTACCTATTTACTTTTAAGTAACAGTGCTGTTTTGAGAGCAGGGCGCTCATATCAATAAACTTCCTGCTTCCTACACATGACTACTCATAGTTCAAGTTCCTCTTCTCTCCCCTTCTTTGGTGGTCACACGGGCTGTGGAAGTTACAATTTTTGTTCACAGATGGTGAGAATGGAAGCTAGGTTTCTGGCGACATTTTAGCTCTAATATACCCAGTGATGAGCTGCCAAAATCTTAACAACCGGTTCCTTCCTCACCCCACGTGGGGGTCGTGGCCCATCCCCACCCCACGGGGACTCCTGCCCCATCCACCCCTGTCCCTTGACTGCCCTCAGAACTGGGAAGGAGGGTGTCGTGGGCCACCATAGTGGGTGCCCACCCCGCCCCTAAGAGCCTGAGGGACCTGCTGGGGGGCAGGTGGGGAGTCCTGGCGGTGCTTACCTCCCAGGAAGCATCCGGCAGGTCCCTCTGGCTCCTAGGGGCGGGGGAGCGTAGCTGGGGGGGAGCAGGGGGAGTGGCCACTCCCCACACTGATCACATCAAAAGTGGGGCCTTAGGTGCCAACTCTGTGGGTGCTCCGGGGCTGGAGCACCCAAGGGGAAAATTTGGTGGGTGCAGAGCACCCACCGGCAGCTCCCCGCACCCGGCCCCAGCTCACCTCACCTCCGCTCCACCTCCTCCGCTGAATGCGCTGCCCCGCTCTGCTTCTCCGCCCCCCTCCCCCGGCTTCCCGCAAATCAGCTGTTTGTGCTGGAAGCCGGGGAGGGCTGAGAAGCAGGCAGCCGCTTCCTGCTCAGGCCCACCGAGGTGGAGGTGAGCTGGGGCAGGAAGCGGTTCCCCTGCGACCCCCTCTCCCCCAGGTTTACCTGCTGCGGTGCGGGCAGCCTTCTTGCGCCCCCCACCCCCCCGCCCCAGATCACCTCCGCTCCACCTCCACCTCCCTGGGCCTGAGCGCGAAGCTGCCGCTTGCTTCTCAGCTCTCCCAGGCTTCCCGAACGAACAGCTGATTTGCGGGAAGCTGGGGGGGGTGCAGAGAAGCAGAGCGGGGTGGCGCATTCAGGGGAGGAGGCGGAAGCGGAGCGGAGGTGAGCTGGGGCGGGGCGGGGAGCTGCTGGTGGGTGCTCTGCACCCATCAAATTTTCCCCGTGGGTGCTCCAGTCCCAGAGTACCCACGGAGTCGGCGCCTAAGGTGCCACTTTTGGCTGGTTGTTAAACTTAGAAGCCCTTTTAGAACCAGTTCTCCCTCATGGGACAACCGGTTCTAAAGGGGCGTCTAAATTTAACAACCGGTTCTAGCGAACCGGTGAGAACGGGCTCCAGCTCACCCCTGAATATACCTCTCAGTCTCCTTGCCTGGTAGCTCCACTACAGAGCTGAGACTTATCCTTTTGCTGAATGGTATCCTGACTGTTAGACCTTGTCTCCACATTGTGGGCACAGTGACACAGGCTGAGAGAGTTGGGATTGTGAGCGTCTCATAGTGGCTGGTGGTAGCCGATGCAGTGGGCTGTGGGCAGAACAAGAGGCAGACTCCTATCCTCTGTAGATCAGGCACAGAGAGGAATGTGTAACACACACTGAGCCCGAGGTTATAAATGCACTCCAAAGGGCAGGCTGGTTATAAATAATCCAGGGCAAACTCTTCTAGGGTTCATCATTTTGACTTAAGATACATTCTGAGTTGAAATTTACAACACCATAGCCTAGGCCCTGACAATTTGTTTCCAGTGTCTACTGAAATAACTGTAAACTGTGCGACAGGAGAACAAATCTGGATGTAACCTTGGGTGTATGCAGGGTTGCACAGTCCCAACTTGTATTCCGTATTTAGTTTGTGTATTTTGAAGGGATAATATTTGTAACATTTATCAAAAATCTTTGTACCAAACTGATCGCATTTAATACCAGGAGAGTGCAGGTTTTAATTGATGATCAAACACCGTCTAAGATGTTAACCTTTTCGGTATGCTATTTATGTTTTAAAATTCTCTTCCAGGAAATGCGGGCTCCTCTACTTTACTCCAGGGACCTGGCAATGGAGTTCCATCTACCCACCCTCACCTCTTACCTGGGTCCCCTTGCTCTTCTCCTGCCTTCCACCTGGGTCCCAACACTAGCCAGCTCTGTAGCCTTGCTCCAGCTGACTATACGGCTTGTGCCCGCTCAGGCTTAACCCTTAACAGATACAGCACTTCTCTTGCTGAAACCTACAACAGGCTCACAAACCAAACCAGTGAGACCTTTGCACCCCCAAGGACTCCCTCTTATGTGGGTGTGTCAAGTAGCACAACTGTGAACATGTCCATGACGGGCAATGACGGTGACGCATTCAGCTGCCCACAAACCGGTTTATCTATGCAGATATCAGGGATGTCTCCACAGCTTCAGTACATCATGCCATCCCCATCAAGCAATGCCTTCACCACTAATCAAACCCACCAAGGCTCTTACAATACGTTTAGACTACACAGTCCCTGTGCTTTATATGGATATAACTTTTCCACATCCCCCAAACTGGCTGCCAGTCCTGAGAAAATTGTTTCTTCCCAAGGAAGTTTCTTGGGGTCCTCACCAAGTGGAACCATGACTGATCGGCAGATGTTACCCCCTGTGGAAGGAGTTCACTTACTTAGCAGTGGGGGGCAGCAGAATTTCTTTGACTCTAGGACCCTAGGAAGCTTAACACTGTCATCATCTCAAGTGTCTGCACATATGGTTTGATGAAGCTTCTTAAGGAAAAGTACAGTATGTTTGGTATCTACGATGTACTTCTCTTGGAATACGAAAGGACACAATGTAGCTTGTAAAATGTATATATAATATGAGAGGAAGTTTCGCTGAATTGTTTGACTTGCTTGTGGCCAGATTGTTTTCTGGTTTGAGTTCTGTGGAGTTTGTTGTGGCACAGTCCATTTAGTTTTCTGGGATAGTACACTTAGTTGTATTACACATTGGAACATATGCAACAAATTAAGCAGGACTTCCTCCCCTTTCGCCCTCCCCCTTTCTTACCCCTTTAAAGAGTGAAATGACACTTGGGTCTGAATTAGACAATACAAACAAAACACATTTCCTGCAGAACTAGCAAATTTCCCTGCAGTGTTCATCCAGTGCTGAGCTGATGCAGCAAACACATAGTACAATGTTCTTCTCTGTTATAAGAGATACAATAGTTATTTGGACTTCAAGTGTTAAACATGCAGAGTCCAGTCTAAAATAGGGGGATAGCTATGGATTATCTACAAAGTAAATGGAAAGAATAGCATTCCTTCTCATGCTATGCTGTTTCTAGCCTGTCAGTGACATGGCATTCTTATTAGGATATTTCAGTGTTAGTCCAGATTCACCTGATGTTGTCACATCATTGAAAAAACATAGTGCAAATCCAAATTGTGGTGATAAGAGTAATTTAAAACAAGCAGTGGAAAGATCAACTTGTCTTATTCCTCTGTGCAGAGCGAATTTTTGGGGAGATTCATTTTTGTCAAGGGGAAAGACTTGATACACTTTTTCCATAAATGTTTTCTACTGAAATTTTCAATTTTAAATTGTTTTGCTGGAGAATAGAATATTCTTTGATTGTTTAAAAAGAAAATGCAGGTTTAAGTCTTTTAAAATGTTGCCCATTGAGTTAAGTTAACAGGCTGAGAAATTCCATTATCAATTTTACCCTTCTTGTGGGCAAATTTACTGCCCGCCCTAGAATCCTAACAAAAGAGTTGTCTGTGCTGGTACTTAGGCCCAAGTTAAACAGGTGACCAAAATTCTTCCCTCAGATATATGGGGAGTAGAATGCAGTGGGAGAAGATGCCCATGTAACCAGGAGGAATTTGGATTAGGATGGCTATAGACAACTTCTATAGTACTGTGCTTAAGGTTTTAAGTATGGCACCTACAGCCTATTATTTCCATCCCAGTGGGAGTCTTGGTTCCACTTGGTTTCTTTCTTGTTCTTTTCTGTCACTACTGCTTTGTTTCTCACTCTTCTCCATGGAGTTTAAACAGTTCACTTCCTTTAGTTGCTTTTAGCTGGTCAGTAAGTACAGATGCTCCCCAACTTACGCAATTGTTCCGTTCCAGAACACCTTGTGTAACTCGAATTTTACGGAGATCGGAAATGTATACCCGACCATTATGCAAAAAAAAAACCCCAAAACCAAAAACTCCTATTTCTAGCTTATGGAACTTTTTCCCTAAGTGCGGATTTGCGTAAGTCAGGTCTTGTGTAACCCGGAGAGCGTTTGTACAGAGATCTAAATCAATTCCTAGCAAGGTTCCCATGGTTCACAGTGAAATGAGGTACTTTTATGCCACAAAAGGAAGATTACTGGCAAACTTCTGCCCTTAGTTACACCAGTGCATCCTATTTGCGATCAATATGGTCGCTCAGCTGCACGTTTGGAGATGTATTCTGATCTACACACCTGTCAGATTTTAGATCTTACCAACTATGTAAAAGATTTTAATCTTTAAAGATTGGAGGCCTCATTCTTTTTACACTAAGCCTCCTATGCTACCACTTGGGTAGTATAAAGACAACTTAAAACGAGTGCAAAGGTAATGTAAAGACTTTTTATAGCCAGAGCAGTGTACAGTGACATAGTGCAAATGAAAACAAAGCCCTTAGTAGTATGGTTTTAGATTTCAACAAAAGTAGTTCATTGCATTTCTCAGGGCCACTGTCTGTTTTGTAGCAAACAATAACTTAGCTGCTTACATTTTAAGAAATACTCATTATAGCTAATATGTTTTCATTGGGGATGTGGGGTAAGGGGAGGAAAAATAATCTCTCCCTTCCGCCTCCTCCCCCCAACATCAGGGAGGCGTAGGATGTTTGCCTGGGAGTGAGGGGTCCTGAGTTCAAGGTCTTCCTTAGCTACAGACATTCTGTGTAACAGTGGGCAAGTCACTTAGGGCCAGACTTTGAAAGGTATTTAGGTGCCTAATGGGATTTTCAAAAGCATCTTGCACCTACAGGTGCTTCTGAAAATCCCATTAGGCACCTAAATAGCTTTCAAAATCCAGCCCTTAGCCTCTCTGTGCCACAGTTTCCCATCTGTAAAATGGGATAATAGCACTTTCCTACCTCACAGGCGTGTTGTGAGGAGAAATCCATTAAAGACTGTGAGGCACTCAGATACTACAGTAATGGGGGGGGGGCATGTAAGTACCTTAGATAGATTGTGGAGGTTGGTGTCAGCCCATCTTTAGCTTTGGAATTCAACTTATCCGTGTCCTTTCAGACAGATCCCCTAATGAAGAGTACCAGCAGTACAATGTGTTCTTTTTTCTACTTCCCGTCCATGCTTTGTCTTTAAAGTTCATACTAAATAAGGAAATACAGCTTTGTAAAATGCCTTTAAATTACATTTGGCAAGGGCCAGATCTTCAACAAGTGCCAAGTCAATGGAGCTATGACAATTTAATTTTCAAGATACTTGTGTCGGCAATCCCTATTCTAACAAAAGATTTGAAAGCCTGCCATTATGCAAAGCTTTAAATGGCTGTAATGCTCTCTGTACTTTATGTTTGGAAGGGATAAGCGGGAGAATTCTCCATACAGTGTGTGCCATCTTAATGGGGTTGTGGGGAAGAGGGGCTGGTGTGTGAAATCCTGCAAGCCCTTACTTGGGGAAATGCCTGTATAAGGACTGCAGGAGTGTGTGTGTGTGAGAGCAGAGATAATATTTGCATTGCAGTGTAGTGTGTATGTGCGTGCACATGCGTGCAAATGTGTGGAGATAGTATTTGCATTGTAATTTGAGAATTTTTCAGTACCATTTACTGGTTGCTTTTTCTTCAAGTTATTTTTAATCTTATAATCTCACAATATTGCTTGAAACATTTCTTCCTTAAACTTCAGTTCATATTGTAAATAGTTATTGGTGTGTCATGCCAAAGACTAGCTTTTTATCAATATAGTAAATGCTATATATGCATTATATCTATAATTATATATCTGTATTTTATGAAAATGTCACAGAAATTATATTAAAGTGTGTATCTAAAAATTTTTATTAGATTTGGAAACTTAAGGGTTGGGGGTTGTCCACAACTTCAACAAAAACAAAGGCACTTACCATAGGGTGCACAGACTTATACAAGTTTGGGAGCATTCAACTAGCAGAGATTTCTTGTGTGTTTAAATTTAACTAGCTGCTGGAGAGCCCCCTTGTCATGTGAAGGTGAAGGCCATGACAAATGTTGAGCACATGAAGATTCTAATAGTGATGGCAGAACAGCGAGGTTTTTATTTTGGAACACAAGAATGAGTGGCTTGCAAGGCTGACTAGCTAGTGACAGACCCCTGTTAATGCGACATACCTGAACGGATTCCAAAAGATGTGGTGATGGGATGACCTCAGCCTCTCTTTATCAACCAAATCTAGGAAATTAACACTTGCCTGCTACCAAGTGCTTCAGTGAGAGCTTTAGTACCCTGCAGAATTTCTCTTCATGCTCTCACTTTGGCCACAATATTTGCTTTGCATATTCTAAATGCCAAAATACGTTGATTTCAAAGTCTTTAAGAATGAACATAATCAAATGGTTGTACCATGCTGCTAATCAACAGGCATGCAAACAAACACATCTGAAAATACTTTTGTGCATGGTGGTGCCATTTTTGTACCACATGGGTAATCAATGCAAAGTGGATACAAAATGCTACCAAATCAAAATTGTGATGTTTTATACACACTTGGGCACTGTTGCAAATGACTTCACAAGATACAAGATGAAACAGAATCAGGCCTGAAGAATTCAGTCATAAGTGGACCAGATCTGGCCATACATGGATGGAAAACAAGTAATGATTATAGTAAAAATATTTCCTCTATAAGAACTGCAGAACCAGTCCCCATGTTTTAGAATTTATCAACTCGGAGGAGGAAGGAGTAGCTCTAATCTCATGATACTGGAGGTAGTTCCAGTAAAGATATACTTTGAGCAGTTCATCAGTGGAAATGCTTTTCATCACTAGAAGGAGCCTTGAGATTTCATAACCATATTAAAGTTTTCATGTAAATATAGTGGACCTAATTGCTCCTTATATTGCAGGAGTGTGGTGGTTTTTTTAAATGCTGCAGAGTAACTTTCTTTACTAATTTATGTAGCAACTTAAACATAAAAAGAATTTGTCACTGTGCTCTTCTGAATATTCCCTCAAACTTTTATAACATAATTATTCAGGTTTAGTTTAAAGTCCAAGTGTGGATTTCAATTAAGTGTAATTGCGAGAATTGCTAGTTTTTTAGACAACCTTTTAAACTTCATTGACAAAATGTATTAGCTTGCCAGCTGGGCTCTGAATTTATTCACATGAAGGCTCAGGTACTATATTTGTCTATATATGTGTCACAAAGTTGACTATATGGTAATTTATTTAATCTGTTCAGTGCTAGATCAACATACATGTCCTGCTTTGTTTTCAGGCACATTAATCAGCTAATGCAAGTAATTCAAAACATTATCATTCCAAAGAGATGACATACTCTTTTAACAAGTGTTCATTGAGGCTGTCATTGAGTGACTGGTGAATAAAATCGCCACAGCTTGGTTTAAATACTTTTTACCAGTGTTATTAAACAAATGAGAAGGAAAACCCATTAACCAGCCAGAATAAAATCTTATGTGGTCAGCTTTTGTTCACACTTAGGTACAGAAGTGCCTTTAAAAAGAGCTAGGATAGAATGGTCCTGTGGACTCTGGATCAACTTAAATTCTCCTAACGTGCCATTTCCTTGCAAGAAGATTTAGGTCTAGATGAGGGATGTCTTCAAGCCATGCTGAAAGTGAAGCCAGTGCTCTCTTGAGCTGAGGGAGAAGACTCTAGGCCTTAGTATAAAAATAAGTTTCTAGCTCTTCCCTTGTAAAGATAGTGGGGTAACATGTAAACTCAGGTTGAAAGCTTGTCACTGATCAAAGGTTAGTCACAGCTCCCTCCCATCCATCAGTCCTTTGAGATTTGGGAAGACATCAGATCAAGTTCACAGCTGTTGGGGTCAGATCTTCCCAGGCTACTACAGATGATGCTGAAATAAGCTTCCTATCAGCTAATAGCCTGCAGCTGAGCCAGCTACTGCTCTGAACAGCTAGCATGACCTTTGGCCACAAAGAGTAGTCGTGTAGTTTAGGGGCCTAAACAAGGAGTAATCTTTTGAAAAGTGCGTAAGTCCCAGATCCACAAAAATATTCAGGCTCCTAACTTCCATTGAAATCAATGTATGCTGTTTTGCTCTAGCCGTGTTGGTCCCAAGATATTAGAGACAAGGTGGGTGAGGTAATATCTTTTATTGGACCAACTCCTCTGGGTCAGAGAGACAAGCTTTCAAGCTTACACAGACTTGAAGAGGAGCTCTGTGTAAGCTTGAATGCTTGTCTCTCTCACCAACAGAAAGAGCTCCAAAGATATTACCTTGCCTTGCTACTGAAATCAGTGGAAGTTAGGAGCCTAAATCGTTTTTTTTTTTGGACCTGGACCTGAAGTTCCATTATCTTCAAATGAAATTTAGCCTCCTAGGTACTAAGTCACTTGATAAAATCAGATTTAGGCTCCTAAGGGTAGGTGTTGGATGGGCATTAAGTTTCTAAATACCGTTGTGACTTCCACCCCTAAGTCATTTACTCACTTTTGAAAAATTTATCCAGGTTGAATCCCATCTCTGGGGATTTTCAAAGTTGAGTACCTAAAATGAAGCACTTCAGTGCTTCACTGTATACACTGAACACTTGAAAAATGCTGGCCTTAGTCTATTTGTACTTCATTTTGAATTTCTGTGGAGGGGAGGCAATACCTACCACACAAAGGGATTACAGCCAGTAAGTAGCCAATATCTGCGAAATGGGTGCCATCCGACAGTCCACTAGAATGCACACAAAAAGTTCCAGTGGTTGCTCAACCCAGGTGAGTTTTTCCCGAGCTGACTTTCTTTACCGGTTAGAAATGATGCATCGGCTTTAACGCAGACACCTGGGTGTCACTTCTGCAGCAGGAGGCTGCTGGAAGAATGGGGGCAGGCAGGCAAATAGGGCCAAAGGACCCTAGCGTACACATTTTTTTAAAGTGATTATTTCTTGTGTGGTGGTACCCATGATTTGTAGTCACTGTCCAAATATATGTCACGGTCCCTCCCTCTGAGGAGCCCACAAGCCAAAATGATAAGCAACAACCACGGATGGTTGAGAGGGATAAAACAGGACCAAAGAGTTCCTGCAAGTAACTTACTTTATCTCCTGGACAGACTGTTTGACTGGGGTGCTGTGGTATAGGAACAAGGCTAAGCTTATGCATGTGAGGTGAAATCCCGGCATTTGGTCATTGACTTCATTGACTTCCAGTCGTTTTTTTAGGGGGCACCACAGCTGGTAAACCAAAATCATGCCCCTTTCTTCCGTTAAGTGCTTTTCGTCGTGCGACAGGTATGGTTGTATTGCATTCAGCTGGCGCGCTCTTTTGACCAGAATTGGGGTGCAGTGCTTCTTACATGGATGCTATGCACAGTTTACACAGCCAAATTTTTAAAAAAGCTTACATGTGCAGGTTTCAAACCGGAATGTAGCTCACACTGAAATAAGAATAGACTATCCACAGACTAGCCAGCGGATGCTGCGCTCACAGCTCATTCCAGAGATTTTTTCTGAGATTTTCACTACTTTTTTTTTTTTAAGGAGAAAAGTTTTAAAAAAAAGGCATTTTTTTTCTGTTCTTAAGGCAGTCTTTTCCACTAGCCTAATGGGAAAAAAATCCTATCCCCATTACAGTGCGTAATACATTTCTCACGAAGAAAAATCTCTCCGTTGACCTCTATAAGTCTAAGGACTAAAAGGAAGCAGGACCAGTGCAAGGATATTTTGCACCCTAGGCGAAACTTCCACCTTGCTCCCCGCACATTGGTTCATTGAGGGGCAAATCCCAATGAGCCTTTATAGACCCCAGGGGCCAGCCGTGCCCAGGGGCTGCTCCCCAGACCACGTTCCCCCCTCCCCACCTCCTGAACTTGGAGGGTGTTATTAATATAAGCTATATGTTATCAGTGCTATAATGTTTTTATGTTACCTATAATGTTTATACTGTTACCATGAACATTATTTAAAAACATTATTTTTTATAAAAAGGAATTGGGGTGTTAGGAAGAGATGTGGGTCCGTTAGCGAGCTCTGATTTATGAAGCGGCTTGCAGAATGAATGGCAATTATTTGGTAAGTTAGTCACCAGAACACTTGCAGTGATCTAGAATTTAGTACACTTTTTAAATCTATTTTGTAGATCTATTAAAGATATTGTTAGTAATGGATGGCTCTGAATGGAAAAAGTCACATCCAGATGTATCTCCAAACTTCCCCACAGTTCAAGGGTGTTAAGGTATAGAGGTTTGGTTCATCCCATTATACAGACAAGCTCCTTTTATAGCTGGCCAGAGCTGTGAAGTCTGGACCCTGATCTGAA